GTACATGAAATTGGGTGGGAGATAGTAAGGACAGATAGAGAAGGGGCTCTAAATATGATTAAAATACATTATATGAAATTCGAAGAAATTCAATAAAAAAGGAAAAATAAAATATTTTTTTTAAAAAAAAAAAGGAAATTTCACATGCCCGTAATACATGTTGTTCATTAATTTCCCTACTTTCTCTTATCCTCCTCCCACCTTCCCACCAAGTCCACATCCCACTTTCATGGTTTTTGTCTTGTATTTGGTTTTGCTTTGTGACCCACTGGGTTTAACCAGAGCTCCCCGTGTGAGCACGGGTGCAAAGCTAGGAACTGGAGCACCAGTAACTCACCAGTGACTGCCACTGGCTCCACTGGGCTGGGGATGGCTTCGGGCGGGGGGGAGCGCTGTGAGCTTGCCCAGGGCAGTTCATGACTGAATGTTAAGGGACTTGGTCTTATGTAGGTCCACACAGGCAACAGCAACCTTTGTGAGTTCACAAGTGCCATGCCCTCACCATGCTCATGACAGACCTGTTGTTCAGTCCCTATGTTCTTTCCACTTTCTTCCATGGTGGTTTTGCACCTTATAGGAGGTAATATGGGTATCCCACTTAAGGCTAAGAAAGGAGTTAATTTTTTTTAATTAATTGACATTTTTATTAAATTATGTGGATTTCTTAAATGAGAAAATATTTAAGAAGTTAGGAGCTTACATAGAAGAACACATTCCCAGCTTCTCAAAGAAAAAAAATCAATTGACAAAAATGAGCCTATTTACTTCTCAAGGGTTGGGGTAGCTAGTAGTGGGTGCCCCCTCCATTAGGTTGCTAGAATCTCCCTATTGTCCCCTACTGGGGAAACTGGAGTTCATTGACTCCACCATTGCCCTTCAAATCAGATTCTATAGGCCGTATTACATGTTTAAGAGAGTTCATTAAATTGCACCAGGGCCTTGGGGAAGAGGTGTGGAGATGAAAGCAGATCTAAATGTCATCAAACTACACTGTACAAAAATGGCAAAAATTCAGTAAAAAATGCAAAAAATAGCAGTAAAGCTAGGATGTATTAGAATCAGCCCATACTAATCATGATTCGATGATGGACATGGCCCCCAGTTCTCTGCTTAGTAAAGATGCTCTTTTACTAGCTTGAAATTTGCCATGGTCCAAGTATTTGCAGCAGAGAAATCCCAAATGCTACCAAGTGGAGCCTTTTCTTTTTCAGAAAGGAGTTAATTTTTAATTAACCTATTGACACACATCCACTTAGTCATTGATTCATCATTTTAATTATTTCTTTAATTTTATCTTTATCTTTTAACAGTGCTGGGAATCAAACCCAAGTCCTTCCACATGCTAGGCAAGCATTCTATCACTGAACTAAATGCCCCCCCAAGAGATCTATTTAACCATTCTTGTGGGTTTTTAAATTTTTTATTTTGTGTGTGTGGTAGATGCATATAAGTATACAGGTATGTGCACCTATGTATTACTCGCATGTGGAGGCTCGAGCAGGATGTTGGACATCTTCCTCTAGTCCTCTCTACCTTGCTGATTTGAAATGGGGTCTCTTGCTGACCTGGAAGCCTGCTGTGTAGGCTAGGATAGCTGGTTTAGAGCTCTCAGGATCTTCTTGTCTCCACTTCCCACTGGAGTTTCCAGGCACACACAGCCGTGCTCAGCTTTTTATGTGGATGCTGGGGATTTGAACTCAGTCTTCATGCTTACACAGCACATGCTCTTACCCACTGAGCCCTCTCTCTAGGCCCTTGTTTTAATTTCTGAGACAGGGTCTGATATAGCTCAGGCTACCATTGAACTCCTGATTCTTCTCCCTCCACCTCTTCATGTTGGGATTACTACATCTACCACCATGCCTAGTTTATGCAGTGCTGGGAATCAAACCTAAGGCTCTGTGCATGCTAGGCAAGTACTCTACCAACTGAGCTATTTAATCAAGCCCTATTTAGTCTTTCATTCATTTGTTCATTCTCCTCTTTAATCTTTACTTCCTTCATTGATTCTTGACCTACTTTTACTTAGGTCTTATGAAGTATCAGTGTTAAACTAGAAATCATTATAGAAGGATATAAAATGAATCAGGCACTGTCCTTTCCATGAATACTATCATGCATAGTCTAAGCATAATACAATATTATGATTTGCTACAGTGTCAAGCATTTATTCAATAATAATTCTATCTTAACAACACATGCTTCCTGGAATTGAATGTGGGTTTAAGAGGCTCTAAGACACAGAAAGCTAAAGGAAGGGTGTGCTCACATTTTATGAAGAGTAGACGGAACTCTAAAATTTGAGATAGTGGGGCTGGAGAGATGGTTCAGGGGTTAAGAGCACTGACTGCTCTTGCAGAGGACCCAGGTTCAATTCCCAGCACCCACATGGTAGCTATGAACCATCCTTAACTCCAGGGGAATCTGACACCCTCTTCTGACCTCCACAGAATTGCACGACACAATGCACTCACATACATGCAGGCAATGCACTCATACACACAAAATAAAAATAATAAATAAAAAATTAAAATTTGAGATGGAATGAATTCTGCTGGATATGATATTGCTGAAAGAAACCAGTGTAATAATCAAAGATGGTGTCGCAATCAAGGCTGTAGAAAATACAGCCTAGAGTGTTTCTATTCCTCCTTATAAAAAAATCATCTAGCTGATTTTTGTTGGATGGTGGATTATAGTGGATCAGAAGCCAACGTGAGGATGTAAGTTGCATCCACCTCTTCCCAGAGCATACATGAACCCATATGGAAAGGAACCACATCAGCTTCATTTCTAGTCCCTAGTGACTCGGGCATCTGCTTGGATCAAAGGTTTTGTAACTATACAGAAACGTAAAAAGGAAAATCTGAAAGCCAAACTACTAGCCACCTTGCTCCAGGCAAGGTGAGTGTTTGGGTGGGAGATGGTCCAGACCACCTTGAGCAGATGTTTCCCAGCAGGCTGTGAGGGACTAGCATTTGTCTTCAACAGAGGATGGAACAGAAAACAAATTGAGAAGAGAAAATCATGTGAAATCTGGGTTGACTTCCCAAGTTTGACATAAATATGATTTCATCATTTTTCTATTAAGACAGCCAAATTCAAAGCAAAGTGCAAACTACCGTTTCAATGCCAGGATAAAGGCTGTCTTCATAAACTTCCAGAATCACTGTCATTCTTAATGATTATAGATTTTAAGTAGTCCACACATTTAACTGTACATTGTGCAAACATCCATCTAATGCTCTGATGACAAAGCTTAGTGTTATATACAATGTTTGAAATAGAAAACAGTAAGATACAGCTTTGCCCTGGAGACTTGAACCAGTGACTCATGCTTCAAGGATGGAAATGAAAACCTGTGGGCCTAGACCTATACATATAAGACTGTGTACCTCATCACTCCTCTACAGTTCTTTCTCAAGAATATTGTGCATGCAGCATATGAAAGGAGAAAATGAGCCTTGAAGAGCCGAACCATATCTAAGCTTTGTGAATCTGGGGTGTATGAAAGCAAAGACTCTACCCTGAAATCTTAGTAAGTCACTTGGCCCTAAAAGAAATTTTATATCATGACTTATATTTGAAGTCACTATATTGTATTCATAAATGCATATTATATGGACTACAGTCATGAGATAGAACATATGAAGTTCAAGTGTCACTCAGGTTTAGTTGAATCAGATGGGCTCTTTAATTGAGGGGGTCAATTATCTGCACAAGCCCTCCACACATAGATCTCCAGGTCAGCTTCTTTGAATCCCATCTGAGAAAAATTGCTGTCCAGTTGGGCTCACTGGTCCTTGTACCACATGCTCCAGTCACAATTTGGCTATTAAATAGAGATGATTTGACTTTCCTATTTGCCCCTTAATTGCATTTAAAATGTAAGTAGAAATTGGGGCTGGAGAGATGGCTCAGCAGTTAAGAACACTGACTGTTCTTGCAGAAGACCCGGGTTTGATTCCCAGCACCCACATGGCAGCTAACAACTGTCTATAACTCCAGTTCCAGGGGATCCGACAGCCTCTTCTGTCCTCTGCAGGCATTGCACAACATGGGTGCACTTACCTACATGCAGGTAATACATGCATACACATAAAATAAAAATAATAAAATATTTTTTAAAAATATATAAGTAGAAATAAAGTTAGAAGTAAGTGGAGTTAAGGAAAATAAACATGTTTTCTTACTTCCTCCCCCTTCCCTAGTGAAGCAACAACGTTACATGAAGTTGTAACACTGTGCTTCTATGGCAACAGTTTGGATATTTTACACTTTGGAATCATACAATAATATTTGGGAAGCTATCTAATGATATTCTCTTTCTGTTTCCAAACACATCCCAAACTCCTGAGAAAAATGATTCAGGAAATATCTAGCATATGAAATAAAAGAAGGAGAAGAAATACAGTAAGAACTTAAATATCAAGGCCAATTGTCAGCAGTCCACTGGATACACCCATCTATTCCTTAAAACTCAATAAAAGTCACTTTTTGTGGGGTGTGACAGCATTCAAGTTACAATAAAGACCTCTTAACTGGTACTCCGATAACACTTCACCCCCACCTCTCCTTTATGACTTCAAGTTAGAGGCCAATGCTATTTCCAGAGTCTGAGAATGAGCCCACTAGTGGCATGAAAGCAAGGGGAACACACGGCTTACCTGATGAGATGAGGCACACATTCAATGTTGGCTGTTTTCGAGGTGAAGGGGGAGGCCACAGATGCTTCCTGTTCTGACAGCGAGATGCCCGCATGAGCCATTTTCAAAGCCTGGAACAATCCATTCAAGTCAAGCCATCACTCCTCAGGCTGGACTCCAACTACTCAAATATCAAGACTGTTCATTACACGAAGTCATAACACTATGCTTGCCCTTCTCTGGATCTCTAGGCATGCTGTCCCATCACCCTGTCCCTCCTGGTTCACAAAGTCCCTGTGAAAAAGGTATTGATTACATCATGATCCAGAGTAAATGAGTGTATGTGTGTGCATATATGTGCACACTTCTACACGTGCCCACATAAAGTACTGGCAGTGCAATATGTAGATATTATCAGGAAATGGAAGCACTTATGCAAAATCTACAAAAGGAAGACAGAATATGGATGGTCATTGGTTGGGGACTTATAGTATCTCTGCTCTTAACTTAGCAGGTCCATCTTCATGAGAAAAATGGGGAAAGATATCTAATCCCCACATTTCTCTCCTCTGTTTGAGTCAGTCCACTAGCAAACTTCTGGTAAGGAGTGTGGAACGCACAGCATTACCACTGGATGCCCTAATCAGGTGAGACTTAAATACATTGCAGCCTGTGTGTTGTGTTGACTCACTGAAATGAGGACTCATTCATTTCTTAGGAAGACTAAAAGCTGTCCAAAGACAGAACACCCTGATCCATAAGCAAGCCAGAAATCCCCTATCTTACAAGAATTGTGTGGCCATGATATGAGGTTTTGTATTGAGGTATTCTGTAGTTCTGGTACAGTGGTTTGGGAAGAATTATATTCAAGTTCAATAAATCTCAGACCATTGCCTCCCTCTTCTTCCTTAGTGTTTAATATCTCTATTATGTAACTTAGGAACATCTACCATATGCTAAGGCTAATTTGATGCATGATTCTTCCATCAGTCAATCAATTCTGGGGGGACAGACACTATGAATTTTTTAGCATTTGATATCTTAATTTTGTTGTAAATGCTTCATAATAGGAATGGGTATTAATCCTGGGTTGGATGAATAGGCTAACAACTAGCTTCTCATGAAATACAGGCAGAAAAATTTATTATAAATCTTTAAATATAAGCACATTTTTACAGAACATTGGGGAACATATTTAAGAGTAAAATAAAATGAATAACCAAGTCTTAAATATTTCATAGACTTTAGAAATGCAAAGCAATCCCCTTTCCCCCCTCTACTCCCCCTCCCTTCTCCCAGATAATCCTCTTCTTCCTCCTCTTCATCTTCTTATTTGCAGTGCTAGGAACTGGGCATCACACATGCTAGGCAAGTGCTCCACCACTGAGATTTACCCTCAGCCCTGTTCTTTAATTCCTGTCCCACAGTTAGCTTTTAAAGTATGTCACTGGGCACATTGACTCTTATTTTATCTGAAACGCAGAATATCAAATATATACTGCTTTTCTGTTGTGTATGAAAAATAATATGAGACTCATTTATTTTGGGTTTTGCTATAGCATACAATAAGCAAACTGTTTAAGGTTTCAGTCAATGTAACAATTGGGGAGAAACCTAATTTTTGAAAATTAACCTCAGAGTGGAAGTTTGCTGGGAATAAACGCAATTTTCACGCAATTCAGAACTTTATGAGTTTCAAACTTTTCTTCTCTAAGGCTTTATCAACTATGAATAGGCCACCTCCTAGAGGCTTCCTTTCCTTATTAGTGACAGGAAAGGTTTGAACCAAATAATCTTGTAAAGTCAGCAATGGGTCTAAAGCATGGAAAAGTAACCATCATCTCCTCATGGTTATTATTCTAGTAATTGTCAGAAAAGAGCTGGAAGGAAACCCTTTTTCTATTTCGAACCCATGGTCAGGAAGAGGTAGGTGTGTACAGCAGGATGGTCAAGTGGATATTGGTGGAAGGGTGAAGAAGCAAGTCCCAGGGGACCTTAGGTTGCTCAAGAGGGATTCTGAAGAGCTGCCTGTGTTATCAGAAGACACTTCTACTCACCCCACAGTCATTGGCTCCATCTCCACACATGCCCACATAATAACTGCATAGGAAAAGATGAAAAATTAATAGCTCAGCCATTCCCTTAAGTCATAACTAACTCGTGTGTGTGTGTGTGTGTGTGTGTGTGTGTGTGTGTGTGTCCCCTGAACACAAAAATTGACTTGGAGAATCCCAGTCCAAGAGGCAAAAGATCTCTTATTTAACTTAACTTTAACTCAATCACTCTGAAATGACAGTGATACTACCAAGGCCATCAGCAAAGAGAGCAATCACACCTTTGATTGTGTCTACCATGAGCAAACTCAGCTCAAGAACATGAAGTCATGATTGTCAGGGAATCATAATTATAGCACCTCCCACTCAACGGAATGCTCAGAGCACAGCCCAACCAGGCTGGGTTACTCTTACTACTGCTGAGACTTTAGAGTTCAGGCACTAGGATGAGGACTGTTCGGCACACAATTTAACAGAGACAACAAGCACACACGTGTATTCCTGTTCATCTCAGGGTGGCAGTGAGGTAATATGCACCCCATCTGATTGCATCCATGCAACCAGGATCTAAATAGAGAAACAAAAAGTGAAGCTGTTGACAGGGAAAGGAAGTTCTTACACAGGCCAGAGTTAGTCTTCTGTTATGAGCAAATAACACATTATGGAGAGTGAATCTTGGCACTAGTAAAAATTAGTAGAATTTTGTACAAAAGGCATAATGAGAGATAAAAATAAAGTTCTCTTAAACAATTCTTATCATTAGTTGGCATATAAGTTGTCTTTTCTATAGGTCAACAAAATGGTGAAATGTAGAAAAATTCAGTCTAATGATGATGGAAATCACAAACATTTATATTTCATGGCATCGCCACTTGTTGAAACAGTTTCCTTTCTTCAGACTTAGAACCCACGACCAGTCCTTGTATCACACCAGGAATCTTACATCTTCTAGTGTTTCCTGAATTCAGAATCCACACATCTTGCTGTGCATTACTAAGGGTAAAGCCGCAGAGAGGAAGGTGGTAATGAAGAGGACAGCTCATTCTGAGGCAATGTGTGTCTTCCTGAGTCAATTTCATGTTAGGGGGATATAGCTTTTAGAATATCTGTTGACAAAATTTCTCAGACATTTGAGATAAGTAATATGATTTTATTCTGCCAATATCATACAATGACCATGCAAGTCACGTAGACTAGTCATTTAGACACTAGTCACTTACCCAGCCTGAAAGCATATAGAAGTTAATAAAGTAACATTTGAGACTTAGGCAGTAAAATCTGATAGTAAGAGGCAGTCTCCTGATTCAGATACAAGCTAGCAACAATTATCTCAAGTTTCACTACCTACTGTGTGTGCCCTTTGCTTTCTGAAATCTTCAGGCCAGAAACTGTAACACTCAAATAATACAAATAATAGGTGGATCTGGTCCCTGTGTGGAAGAATCATTCCCTTCATATATGACTTGGTCATTTGTGCTTTTGAGAGTAACAAGAAAGGACTTTCTGAATTTAACCCCTATCTCGAGCCTCTGCCAGCTTCCGTTTCATCAGAGGATCTTGGAATTATTCACACGTCTTCTAATGGACTAAGTGTCTGACTTCAGAAGAGGACTCATGCGGTTTCCTGCTTTTCTCACTCCACAAACCCCCATTCTTTTCCCCACATTTAAACAGGCAATCTTCCTGTAAGATAGGCTTTACAGGCCCCCAAATAAATGCCCTTTGGGGTAGTCAGCTTCTAAAACGGCCCCCACTGGTCCCCAGCTCCTGATAGTCATGGTATTGGAAAATCTACTCCCTTGAGTATAGGCAGAACCTAGTGACTTGCTTCAAATGAAGAGAAGACAGCAAAACTGTTCTAAGATTGGGACAACAACCCTCCCTCCCTCCCTCCCTCCCTCCCTGCCTGCCTTTGTCTTTATCCTCTTTCTCCCCCCATCTCTAACTCTCTTATTCTTCCTGCTTTCTCATGCCTAGGGAAGCCAAACAGTCACCTTAGGAACTTTCTTAGGAAATGGCCCATGTCTCAAGGAACGGAGGTTGGCTTCTTCTAACAACCAGTAAAAAACTGAGGCTCTATTCCAACTGCACATAAGGAACTGAATCTCTATCATGTGAGTAAGGTGGTGGCAGAGCTGTCCCAACCAGAGCCCTGAGGTGATTCCAGTTCTGGATGACACCTGATTGCATCCTTTTATAATTGCATCCCTGGTTCAGGAACTAAGGCTTAGCTGAGCCACATCTGGTTATCTGATCCACAGAAACATAAAACCACTATGGTGGGGCATTTGTTACGCAGCAATGGAGAACAAACACATCCTCCTTTCATGCATGCCACCTACTTTAATTTCTGAAATTCTTCAACAAGGCTTGATTTCTGCCCTGGAGACATTCTTGCAAAAATCGTTCCATTTACTAGAATCTAAAGAGAAAAATCACAATTACAATAAGGTTAGGAGGAAGAACATTTTAAAAATAAAAGTCTAGAAAAGTCATTTCTGGCCACTGATTTAATACAGCATTGGGTAGTATGTCATTAGCCCTAATGTCAGGAAAGGTGATAAAGAGATATAATGCTTCAGCATTGAACTTTCACTCTAAGTACTCCATCACAACTCTATTATTTTTGGACCTTTTTCCCCCAAGAAGAGGTGACTTCTAATTAATAATAATCACTGAGAAGCAGAGAATAGGAGTAAAATGCTTCAGAAGAGGCTCTGCTGCTGACAGAGAAGAGAGGGATGGACCAGATGTTAAGGCAGGAGGGTCAGTTCTCAGCTCTGTCCCAAGTATCTGTGCAAACCTCAGGCAAGTGACTTAACCTCTCTGAGTTATCTTTACAATAAGGAAGTAGAATGGAGCTTTCTAAAAGCCTTTAGGGTCTATGTTCTTTGGTCCTTGACTAGTAAGGTGACAGAATATTTCAGATTCCATAGGTCGCTGCCCTTAGTCTGTGAACCAAGTAGCCCCACCATATTGACAACATAATCCTGCACAGCACTATTTCAAAGCAGGACACACATAAGACAGGATAACAAATGATTTCGAAAATAAACTGTGGTGTCTTTATTTCCTTCTGCTGTAATTTAAGACTCCAGCCATCAAGGAATGGAGTTCAGCCTGACAGTCCGGTGGCTTTCAGAGAGGCTAATCTACAAGACAGACGGATGCTTAAATCTATCTGGAATTTGTCCCAGATGGGGAGGGAAGGCAGGAGGGATGCTGGTGTTGGAAGGGCCACGGGGTGAGAGGATATACCAGAACTGAAAGCCTCAAAGATGGGTGATGTGTTTGTGTAGGGCCTGGTGGGAGAATTGGAACACTCTGCAAGATCAAGGTGCCTTCAAAGGTGCACAGTCTCAAACCCTAAGCCCACCTCAGTGACTGACACCTTATTTTTATGTTCCACTCATTTAAAGACCAAACACTCAATTTCTCCAGTACTTACTTTGGGAAGCAAACTGTAGAAATGCTGAAATATCACTTGGTATGACTTCCCACTCAGTGCAAAATGGTAGCACTTCTCACCAGGTGCAGAAATGTTCCCAATATTAATAAAGGTTTCCTAAAATCAAAAGGCATTACTTCTACACTGACTCCTAAGCAGTGTCTGCTTTCCTGTGTTTCAGGGAAGAAAACACATTTGTGTTGCATAACAAAATGAGAGTCAGCAAAGGCAGAATGGTTAACTTCTCCGGGGAACTTTGACTCTAGGAAGAAGACACGCAAAATCCACCCCAATAATAGCAATATGCAGTATGGATTCTTTCCTGTGATGGGGCTTTTGAGAAACATCTCAAGGTACCAATTCAGAGTCAGAGGGAAGAACATAAGCTGTTTTTCAACCTCCTCCTCCTCTTTCTTTCCCCCTCCTCCTCTTCATCTCCTCCCCTCCCCCTCTTCATGTTCCTCCCCCCCTTCCCTCTCCTCCTCCTCCTCCTCCTCCTCATGCACCTTTGTGTTTCCTAAGATTTCATACCATTCATTTGCTTAGTTTCATTACTGTAAGTATGCACATATTTTTTCTCTTAGTATCTAACTTCGGTGTCTAACTTCTACCTCTGTTGTGATGTTGTGACTCTCCCATAACAGGGGCCCCTTTCCCTCAAGGTACTCAAAGCCTCATCCACACCTATGCACCACTGTACAAGCACTAGCCCTTTCAGACTCCTCCTTCCTCACTGCCTACCACCAGCAGGTGCTCTACCTCTCTCAGGCTCCTGACTGGGGAGGGAGCATTTGATAAAGCCCTGTGGTTTGTCCTTGTCAGTCACTGAAAACAGTTTCTCATTCAACATTTCTCAGAGGGCTTCACATTTATCTAGGACTGAATTCAAATAGTACAGGAGGTAATAATAGTTTATTCATTGGAGAAATGCATAGCACAGAAAGTACTGTGTTTGGAAGAAAAACATCAGCTCTGATGAGTTCATCGGAAACACACCTCTCCTCTTCCAAGGAAAAAGCCCTGCTCTAAAGCATCCCACTGGGGCAGGCCAGGAATCCCTTTTCCTTGTACTAGGAAAGTAAGAAAGAGCCATGGCAGGGAGGCAGTTATGTAACTGCTCCTGAACTTCAGATAAGGTATTAAACTCATGAATGAGCAGTACATATAACCTCTTTGTTGAAATTGGTGAAGGTCTAGAGTTTATGGCACAGTGAAACTCAGAATAAGAAGCAAGTGGGTTCATAGGAAATTGGTATGAGAAATCTGCAGAAGGCACAGAGAGAACTATCATCTTTCATAGCAGGTTGAGCCAAATTAACCTATCTCTTCCCAGAGAAGGGCCAAGGCCACTCTGTATAGTTGTGTACTGCACAAAGGTCCCCTCTAGACTTAGCAGCGTGAAAGGAGCTGTTGAAGTCATATAAAAGCAACGTAGATGCCCGTGGATTTGTGTGGATCAGACGCCCTGGGGCTGTTTTCTGCTGTGTGGCTCACTGGTCTGCCTCCTGCTTATTTTCCTGAGCCTGTTTTTCTCATTTGTGTGTATCCATGAGGATTATATGGCAAATACAGGCATGAGTCAGTGGTTCTTAACCAGGCATGCACATTGGAACCACAGGGAAAAAGGCCGACACCACCTCACCACCTCACCACAAGAATTCGGATTTAACTGGTGCAGCCTGCAGTATGAAGTTAGAAAACTCCCCCAGGTGGTGGTGATGTACAGCTGGGTCTGCAAAATGTGGCTGGAAGCAGCACTGTGCAGCCTGGCTTGGGACAGGCATGAGGACTGTTAACTGTGATGACTGCCTGCCTCGTGCCAGGGCTGTGTTCCACCAACCCAGGCCCAGTGATGGGGCTTCGAATATTTGCCCACCTTCTTCCCAGGGCCAAGCTCTTGGTTCACCACCAGCTGCCAGGTTACAGAGGCAGGAAGAAGACCTTCTGGCTCATTAGCCTCCACAGTGATGACTTGGCTGCCTGGAGGAATCATTTCGGAATTCTTAGCGACAGTAATGGCTGTTTGAAGATTGTCACCTAGACAACAAAGAAACTTCAAGTACAAACCAGAGGGGAGATGTCTCACTTCTCCTTCCTTGGCACTTGTTGGGGGAATTTATTGCTTTTTGCTTTATTTTATAACTAGTTATCTTCCCTCCTACCCAAGACTGTATGCCTCTAGTGGACAAACGCACACAATATGTCCAGTTCAGTGTGTATTTTCAAAACATGAATAAATGAATGGCAAAACGTCCAAGTACCTCATTACTAGTATTTGGGAAACAGTAGCAAACATGTTCTAGTCTGAGCACAAGTCCATCTTTGGAACCTGGATTAACCAGAAGAGAGAACACCGAAGGCCAGGCCAGGCCACACTTGAGTTTCTTCACTATGCACTATGCCTGACCATCTGCTCTCATGTGTAAACATTTTCTTTTGTGTGTGTGTGCGTGTATGTGTGTGTGTGTGTGTGTATACATGATGATGTATGTGTGTGTGCATATGTATATGTATGTGTGTGTATTTTGAAGTCAGAGGTTGACATTAGGTGTCTTCCTCAATCACTATCCACTTTAATTTTTTGAGACCGGGTCTCTCACTGAACCTGGAGCTCACTGATCTGGCTGGACTGACTGGCCAGCAAGCCCCAAGAATCCTCGTGTCCCTCCCAGTGCAGAGATTACAGACATGTGCCACCTCTCCAGCTTTTTATGTGTGTGCTGGGTATTTGAGTTCAGGTCTTCACACTTGCATAACAAGCTTTACAGACAGCCATCTCCCATGCCTGTGTACAAACACTTTCTGTGAATCAGTTAGCACTGTATAGATCCTGAGTAGAAAGAGTGGTATGGACAGAGTACAGACGTGGTCCCTACCTCCAAAGGTGCTGCTCCTGCTGAGGAAGCTGCATGGCCAACAGAGCCACGCAACAACATACTCAACAGCAGAGCATTTCCTTTCTGCCTCACTCACAAGAGCTCATTCAGCTCTGGCATCTTTTCTTTATGCCTGGGATGCAACCCACTTATCAACCCTCTAGAAGCCAACACACCTGTAATCATCACAGTCCTGATATGGGCCTCCCTCAGTTCCTTCAAGACTGGTTTGGTTTCCTTTTTCAAGCGATTCTCCATTATGAGAAGTCCCAGAAATGTTAACTCAGATTCCACTTTCTCCCTTTGGATTCACAAGAAAAGTACCGTTAGAGTGTAGCCATGAAATCTTCATAGTTTACTTACTTCTTCTTTAAGATTTCTTTGGATGTTTTGTTAGTGTAGTATATGCACTGTTAAAAAGATAAATAAAAAAAAAGGAACTCAGGAATTTATAATGGAAACCAGGTGTCCCTGCCTCCAGACCACCTTTTTCTCCTTCCCAAAGATAATTACTTGTAGTTTGCAACTCCATTTTTAAAAAACAGTGTTCCTAGATTCCAACTCTTTTTTTGGTTTGTTTTTACTTTGTGTTTGTTTTTTTGAGATGAGGTCCCCCTGTATCCCTGGCTGGCCCAAAACTCACCATGTAGACCACACTGGTCCTTTATCTCCCAGAGATCTGCCTGCATCAGCCTCCTGACTGCTGAGAATAAAGGTGTGTGCCACCATGTCCAGCTCCAACTCTTTTCTTTAAAATTTTTATTGCATTTTATTATTTTTAGGGGGTGCACATGTGCCACAGCATATGAGTGGAGGGCAGAGGACAAATGTGGGAGTCAATACACTCTCCATCATGTGGGCTCAGGAGATCAAATTCAGATCATCTGGCTCAGTAGCAGATGCTTTTATCTACTGAGTCATCTCACTGTCCCCTGAGTTATTTTTTTTAATTGTTAGTCATATATAGTTTTAACTTCCAAGATCTTTCTATCTTTGTTTCCTTTGACCTTATACATACATGTTTTTTAAATTTTCATCATATATAGTTTTAACTTTCAAGGTCTTTCTTTCTATTTTTTTTCCTTTGACCTTATATAAAATAATAGCAGTTTGATACCTACTGGTACAATCATTTGTGCAGAATGCATCCAGTAAGCATCAAACTGAATTTTATTTGTGCATACAATTTGAATTAATACTTTCTTATTAACTAGAACTAAAATCTTCTCACTAACTTATTCTCAGTGTGTGTGAGTATGTAAGTACACATATGTTCATGTGTGTGCAGGTGCATGTATGCATGAGTGCACACGTGTGGAGCCCATCCACCTCTTTTTTCTTTATGCAGGGGCTTTCACTGGAACCTGGGACTTGTCAATTAGGCTAGACTAGCTGTCCAGTGATGCCCATGGGTGTGCCTGTCTCTGCCTCCCAAATTCTGGAATAACAAGTGCATGCTATCATGCCTGGCTTTTTCTGTGGGTACTGTGGATCAAACTCAGGTCCTCATTCTTGTTTGACAAGTGCTTTAGCCACTGAACTAACTGTGCAGCCTCTTTACTTATATTTGTTAGAATCATAATACATTTTTAGCAACACCGTTAAGGTATAATGTTATACAAAATCTGAATGTATTTAACATACAGAATTTTATAGGTTTAAATATGTACACACCTGTATAACCATTACCAACACCCAAATAGGAAACATACCAGTCACCTCAAAAAGTGTCCTGTTTTTTTTTTCTTTGCTTTCCAATAAGAACATTCGAGATCTACCCTTCTAAGAAAATTGTAAGCATACAACACTGTGCTGCTGACTATAGGTACTACCCTGCAGAGAAAATCTCTAGAACTTACCCAGCCTGCATAACTGAAATTTTGTGCCCACTGAGCAACAACTTTCTACTTCCCCCTCCTCCTAGCCTTTATGAATCACCACTTCACTTAATGCTTCTAAGAATCTGACTACTTTAGATACTTGGTGTAAGTGGGATCCAGCAGTATTTGTCTCTGGCTGGGTCATTTCCTTTAGCATGATATCCTCCACATTCATGCACATGACTCACACTGCAGGATTCCCTTCTTTTTATGGCTGAATGGCTCCCATTATGTAGGATATTTTCTTTATGCATTCAAAGGTGAACATTTAGATTGTTTCTATATCCTGGCTAACATGAATAATGGTGTAAAGAATATGGGAGTTCACCTCTTTTGGGATCCTGATTTCAATTCTTTTGTATCAAATTAATAAGATTAGGATATTGCTGGATCACATGACTATTCTATTTAACTGTCTGAAGAACCACCACACTATTTTCCACAGGAGCTGCAGCATTTCCCATTCTCAGTAAGAGTGCACATAGGTTCTGATTTCTCCGTGTCCTCACCAACACTTACTGTGGTTTTTTATTTCCATTTTACTAATGACTAGTGACCACATGTAAAAAAATGAAATTAGACTTTTATTTTATATTATACATGTCATGGTTTGAGTCTGTGATGTCTCCCACAGATTCATCTGTTAAACACTTGGTTCCCAAATATTGTGTTATATTTTTAATTCAATGAAGCCTTTAGAAGGTGGAGCTTGTCTAGTAGAAGTAGATTGTTAGGGGTGGACTGGATTCCAGCCCTGTGCTCTCTGCTTCCTGGTTGGCCTTATAAATAGCTCCGATTCATGTAGTAGGTGGAGATATTCTGCCCTGCCGTCCCTGCCGTAACAGACTAGAATCCCCCGGAATCTGAGAACCAGTATAAGCCTTTTCTTCTTTACATTGTTTCTGTCCAGTGTTTGGTCAGAGTGAGGCAAAGGTAACCACTACAAAATGCAAGATCAGCTGGCAGTGGATTAACGATGTAAACATTAGGCTGAAAACCAAAAGTCCTAGATGAAAATTACAAGACACAACATTCTCGAGATTAATCTTGGCAACAATTTCATGGACATAACAACAAAAGCACATGTACAAAAAAAAAAAAAAAAAAAAAAGAAAGAACCTGTCCTAAAACAACACTACCACCAAGAAACAGTGCTTCTGGGGCATTGGCCTCTGTTCTACAACACTGTCAGCAATGCAGAATCAGGGCCTTTGCACCCACTGCCCTGTCCTCTCGACACCTGGCCTCTGAGTATATGTGCCTTGCTCTTAATTCACTCAGATACTGTGACTACTTTGACCTCCCTGTGTGAAATGACATTGTGTATTTTTAAATTTCTACCAAGCTGATTCATTTTCCCTTCCAGGATATTTAAGAATTTCCAATGAGACAATATTTTTTTTAATTTTCTTATGTCTATGAGTATTTTGCACTCATGTATATAAGTGCACCCATTTTGTGCAAAGCCCTCAGAGGCCAGAAGACAGCATCAGATCCCTTGAAACTGGAATTATGGACCATTGTTAGCCACCATGTGGGTTCTGGGAACTGAACCTATATCTTCTGCAAGAGCAGCCAATGCTCTTAACTGCTGAGTCATCTTTCCAGCCTCATAATAAGATAATACTTTATACATATATTTTATTGTCTATTTTTCCCAACTATGATACAAAATCCTTGAGGGAAAGGAGTTTATTTTATTCACTTCTGCAGTTCCTAAACATGTAATACAAACTAAAGGTCAAGAGAAAATTGCTAAACCAATAAAGAGTTAGGTCTTAGCCAAGTATTTCTTGTTTTACAGTTTTAGATGTTTTTTTTATGTTATCTCAAGAAACTCTTAATTTCCTTTGTGACTTCTGATTTCAAGAAGCTTGTATTTTAACTGAAAGCAAATTTGTTCAATATAATTTTATTCTAATTAAAAAGTAAGAACAATATTCTTCTGCTCTATTCAGAAGTGGTCCATGCTAAGAAGCATATTGGACTCCTGGACTCTTGGGAAAACAGGATGGGTAGAAATACAGCTTATTTTATCATTTTCTATATTTATAATAATACATATTTCATTACTGCCTCTAAAGTGAGACTACAGATGGACCCATGCCTGGCAGCTGGGGTGCTGTCTACATGCTATCACCAGCTACATAAATCTTTTGTTCACATATGACCTTAAGACTTGCTACTCAAATTTGTTTTTGGAAAATTACAAAATCCTATGTGTTATAGGTCTTCATGTGTGCTTAATGACTAACATCTGGAGTGCTAAATCTAAGGATATTACAGATATATATTAGCTTTGGAGTTCTGTTTCAAAGACAAAAGTTCCATGCCTGAAAGGCTCCCTGGAGATCACCTGATCCTGTGTTTTATAGATGGGGAAACAGATACCATGTAAGACAATAATTATCTTAGATAGACTTAGGTAACATTACACCAAATATATCAGTGTCCCACGCAATAAAGCCAGTTACATATTAAAGAGAATCTCTGAATTAGAAACATAAATTAAATATATCAAACATAAGCAATACAAAGGTTATCAGTGATTCAGTTTTGTGTAGTATTTTCCTATTCTTTTGTCTGGATAATTTAAAAGAGCTTAAAATGCTGGAGAACAACTGAAGAAAGTAATATAGATTATCCTCTAATGAGGGCAATTCATCCCTTTAATGTAATTAAGAATATTGAATTTTATTTCTTATACAGAATTCAATTGGCACTCATTGTTTTCTAGACTTGAGGGAAACAGTCCTGAGACCTGAAAAATAATCCAAGCCTAAAAGATTCCGGAAATTTTCCAAATCTTCAGTTATGTCCTTTAGTCTTGAGAGATGTGGGACTAAGTCACTATGTAATGCTCAGAGGTGAGAGGAGAGTTAGTTATTGGAGGTTGGGGGTTGGGGAATGAAAATCAAGACTAAGGCTACACGATGAAGGGCAAAGCAGAGGTAAGACATGGGGTCTGGGAGTCAGAAATCCCAGCTGTCACACTTGTTCTGTCACCAACTGTCATCATGACATGAACGAGTCTCCCCCAGTCTTTCCTACAGCTGCCTGTCTCAAACCAGGATGAAATGGTTCTCCATCTTTAAGGATTTCTAGTGATGTGAGCTGTCCATCTGTCCATCTCCAGAGCTCCCTCCCTTCATGCACAAAGAACCTGGTCTAATGCTGATTTCCAGTTCCTTACCTTGCTAAATGCCCTACATCTGAAAGTTTCTCCATCTTCAGGGTTTTATGGGCAAGGGCAATGACACGGAAACCTTGCACTGTGTAATTCCTCAGTTCCTGTGGGAAGTTCTTGGGCACTGTCAAGAGAGAAGGGAGAGGTAAGTGTGAGATGACACTTAACCCTACCCAGTGCCTAAGCAACTCCAGGGTGCTGTACTTTACCGTCCCCTTCATAAAACACTTTATTAGAAAACTTGAATTTTCACAGAAAGGTCACAAACAGCTTTATCAGCATGTTCAGATTACTCTGATGGGAAAAAATTGCAAAATTATCCTGATCATCAACTGTGCTATGGATGATTCTGTGCCCCAAACCCCCATGGTAAAGCCTAATCCCTGCTGTGATTATATTTGGATATGGCTTTGGGAAGTAATTAAGTCATGAAGGTAAAGTTTCATGAGTGATATTAACACACAAGAAGATATAAGAGATTGCAGCCACCCAGCTGTGGCCGCCCCTCCACTCTTCCGGTGCTGGGTGCTGTCTCCAGTCGCCACACCCTGGCTCACATAGGCGCTGCCTGTGGCCGCTCTCCATTCGCGTAGTGCTGATCGCATGGGCACCGCCTCTGATCACACAGGCACCGCCTGCGAGCGCAGGGGCACCGCCTTCTGGGAGCTGCCCCTTGTCAGGCGCTGCCCTTCATTCCTCACAAGCTGTGGTCGCTCTTCAGCCTGTTGCGGCACTGAGGCAGCTCTTCTGCTTCCCCGGTGCTGGGGCCGCTCTTCTGCTCACCTGGCACTGAGGCAGCTCTGCCGCTCAACCAGTCCTGAGGCAGCTCTTCTGCACACCCGATGCTGCCTCTGATCCTCACTACTTCTGCCTGGTAGGGACCCCAGGGCTGGTAAAGAGACTGCCCCAGCAGAGCCGCATTCAGACACAGGAGACCAGGTTCGTTGATACAGATACCACTTATTGCAGAAGGGCACAAGCTTATATAGGAGTAGGGGGTCCAATCAAGAAGTTACAACTTAGATCTTTGGCAGGGCTGTGTCCTATCATGACATCGTGAGTCAGGCACCTCATTAGCATAATGGGTTTCCTTATAGGGCCTGGTTTCCTGGGAATCACGTGACCCAGGCTGTCTAAGTGTTGCAATTTGGGATCTCAAGGATGGTGATTAGGGAGTGGCAAGCTCTAGGCATCAGTCTCATGATCTGCCAATGGGAGCAAATGTCACAAGGCATTTCTTGTGGCTCCAGTAGTTGGGCCATTGCCTCGGGCCTGCTGTATGGCTGTCAATAAGACTTTCACCCTAGGCTCAAGCCTGTCTCCCACAAGAAATGATATCTCCCCACCATGTGAAGAGACAACAAGAAAGTGGCCATTTGTGCCATGAAGATGGGTCTCACCAGGAACCAAATTACCTAGCACCTTAATCTTGAGCAGTCCCACTTCCAGAACTATGAGAGAGAAAATTCTGTCATTTAAGATACCCTGCCTGTAAAATTTTGTTGTAACATCTCAAGCTGACCAAGACAAATTGGGTGTCAAATATACAGACTGATTTCACCAAGACAGACCTCAGGACTATGTCTACTTGAATGAAATAGAGAAACAGTCCATCTTTTAGATCAGGGCATGATAGTGTTCAAGTTAAATTTGACACACTGTTTGTTTCTGTTTTAAACAATGGTTACCCACTGTTTATTACCTATGGCTGCTTTGGGCTACAGTGGCAGAGCTGGTTAGCTGATACAGATACTGTGTGGCCAGAAAGGCCTGAAACCTGAACTATGTGGCTCTTTTCAGAAATAATACCATTCTAGTTTTAATATGGTTTTTGCTTTAATATTTTTTTTTCATCTTGTGGATGCATGTGCTCATGTAAGTAAGTGCGGCACGTGTGTGTTCTGGTGCACATGTTGAGTCAGAGGACAACCTCAAACATCTGTCCCTGGTTTCCACTTTGAGACAGGATCTCTCTTATTTGCTGCTGCACATGGCAGACTGACTGGTATGCAAGCTTCTAGCAATTCCCATCTCTGCTTCCCATCTCCCAGTCAGGGTGTACTGAGGTTACAGGCACATATGCTACATGGCTGTATAATGTATAATGCACACTCTAGGTTTGTCAGCCTTGTACGGCAAGTACTTTACCCACTGAGCAATCTCCCCAGCCCACATCCCTACTTTATATGATTTTGATTGATGGGACAATGCTAGCACTTATATATTTTGGCATAATAACTATGTTTTTATATTTATAAATTCTTCATGGTTTAGAATGTGCCTATGTGAGTATTAGATGAAATTTGAAGTTCTGCACAATAGTTGACACAATGGGGAAGGTGGTAAAACTATTAAGCTTTGTTCTCCACTCTCCTCCCAACTCCCTTTCTGACCTCGCCCATGTTGTCTCTCTTCTGCACCTTAGTTTCTCATCCATGACATGAGAGGTGGCTGGCCTTTATGTTCGTCTCAATCTCAGAGTTTCTGTAATTCTAAACTAGTCCTGGATGTGAGGACCTAATCTCAAGAAAGCTTCTGGCCCTCCATTTCTTATGGGGGCGGTGAAAAATCAAAGGCCAGGACACAGGAAGAATAAATGGGCTTTCACAAAGATAAGAATGGCCAGTGACAGGCCCAAGCATTTTTGACAGACTAGGGACAGCAGACACCAGCTGAATGTCAAGGGGATTCTCACCAAGTCTTCATCACCTAAAGCAAAACAGAACAAAGCCAAGTATAGGCTATAACCTATTAAAGACAGAGTTAATGGAATTTGTGAGGAAGATCAAAGTCACAAGATGAGGTCCTTTTACTTCTACCACCTGGGAATTGAACCTACAACCTTGTACATTTGAGGCAAGTGCTCTACCACTGAGTTTCATCTCTGGCCTAGAAGGGGGCATTTCTAAGGTTTAAAAAAAAAAGACTACAAATTGAGATGCTAGAATAATCATCCATAAACTCTAGGATGCTATGAACAGTCCATGGTTGTCAGCAGCCTTAAGGAGAAGATAGATGAAAACCAGGAGGAAAATGTCAATTTCATCCAGATGAACTTATTCTAATGAACCAATATTCTCATACATTTGGCCACCACTTAGAATATGCATATGCTGATAAGACTAATAAACAATACCAATCATCTCAAAATCTGAACTAGAGAGATAAAGATTGTTGGGGAAATGATCAATTACCTTGCTCTAATTTTGTTTAGTAATTTTTTAAAAAAGATTTATCTTTTAAAAATATTTCCTGGGTCAGTAAGATGGCTCAGAGGGTAAAAGCACTTGCTGACAAACCTGAGGATTGAGTTCAAGCCCTGGGTCCTACATGGTGGAAGAAGAGAACAGACTCTCCTCTATCTGCCTTAGTGCACGTACATGCACAGTGAATAAACAAATGTAATAAAATATTTATTTTTCACTGATCTCTCTGAGCTCCTAACAGCAGAACCAGCCCAGCACCACCTGCCTGGAGTTGACAGAGCTCCCTTAGTTTTAAGACCTAGTCAAGTGTCCAAGCCTCATCCTTGGTTCCTTCCAAATGCTCCTCAATGTCACCCTCCCTGGTCCTCTGACCCATGTGCCTCCCTGTTCTGCCTCTGCAGTTCTGTTCCACATCTCCTGCCTGGCATTCCACTGTAGTTGTGCTTTTCTGGCTATGTGATGGCCAGGTGTTTACGCTCTACCTCTGTGCCTAGAACCATCCCCTCTGCCTCACTGGCTCTGCGTGCCACTTTCAGCTACCTGGAAAGGGTCCTACTCCTCTTCTACTGGTTGCAGGGCTTGTGTGTGTCATGTGGTTTATCAGAAGTTTGCTTTATGTGTTTGGCTTTTCAAAATGTTTTCCACCATGAAACAGAAAGGTGTCAATACCTGTTTCAGATCTGCAGAAACTGGCCACCATCTCTGGTGCTCCCTTCATGTATACATGGAAGTGACAGTCCCCAGATAGCCGAGCAATCACAGACATCCTCTGCAGGCTTGAGGAAAATGGAAACTGGAGCAAGATGGTGATGGCATCCACAGGACTCTGCAAGGGCATCAATGAGAGGGGGGCTGAAAAGCCTTCGAGTATTATTCACCAGCTACACACCAACCAAAATCGTTTCTTCTACAATAAGCCCAGCCACATCATGTAGTATATTTTTTGCAGTGCTTACATTTTTCTGGCTTATTCAACAGTGAATCCCTCAATAAGTTGTCTCGTCTCAAATCCCCTCACCCCTGGCTGCCTGGAGAAATCCTGTTCTCCTTCCAGGCCATCTGTGATGCTTCTCTTTCCCAGGAACAGTATCCATTTCCAGCTATCTGTCAGCCTTTATGACAGTGTTTGGCACAGCGCAGCGCACTTGTTTGCACTTGTATTGATTTCTTAGCACTCTGTGTGTTCTTCCAGTGCATGGCCCAGCATGTGTTGTCGTGAGGTCTAGCACAGTATTCTAGTATTCGCAGGGGTTGAGTGAGTCTTCAGAGAACACTAATGAATGAGTTCAGGACTGAAGGAATGTCTGCATCAACTGTGCAGTTTGTTAAGATGCAGTAAATAGTAGAAACATGAAGATATGTCAAAATCATAGATGTTTCATTTGTGTGCAAGGGAAAAAACTATATAAAGGAGGAAACCATACCTGACTGGCTTTTGGTCCTGGTTTTATTACTGTGCTTGAATCTGACATGCCAAATCTGCAGGAGTCTACTTTGCAATCTTCCATATTCTGTTATAAAATGAAAACATTTGTAAGATTCCTTGGAGACAAATAAGAAGATAGAAATATTTTCATTTATACAACATGCTAATATTTTCAAAACCCTTTACATGTAGTTTCTCTTCCAAGATATTTACCTTAATACTATGCTGTCAAATTTCCTTATGGTAGAATGTCAGATAAACAGAAATATTGTAATTATATTTAGACATAAACTAGAAATGGATGGGGAAAGTGCTAGCTACAGAGCAGTGGCTCTTCCCAAATGTTTATATCTGGTAATTGGAAGAGGGCTTAAGTGAAGGTCTATTCTCCAGTACTGTGGAGCACAACATGTTTTTATGATACACCTGTGCTGTTAGTCTGTTAGTTACCAAGAGAGCTAGCAAGTCAGCTGTGAGCAAATTAGAAAGCACATTTGAAATGGTTTTTATTCTTTGAAAGTTTCAATCTTTGCACCAAAAATTTCTTCAGAGCCAACGCCCACTTCAACTTACTGGCTCCAGGACTATTCCTTTACGCCAGTTTCTCTTTTTAAGCATTTGGCTTTTAGGAGCCAAAATTTTCCCAGTCTTCCTCTTTGGAATAGCTTCTTGTGATGCATGCTTCATGCTCCTTTGGTCATTTGTTTCCGTTCATTTATAACTGTGTTTAAATGCTTTGTTTGTGTGTGTCTGTGTGTGTATGTGCGTGTGTGCGTGTGTATGCACATATACAGGTGTGCATGTAAGAGGTGCATGCATTAACCACCTATTGTTAAGGCAGGGTCTGTAGTTGGGACCTAGGGCTCTCTGATTAAACTAGGCTGCCTAGTCACCAAGCTCCAAAGATCCACCTATTTCTGTCTCCCCAGTGCTGGGATTACAAGGCATACCACCATACCTATCTTTTTACATGGGTTCTGGGATTCGAACTCAGATCATTGTGCTTGCAAGGAAAGCATTTCTCTGACAGACATCCCCCTAGTCTTTTCCTACCTTTCATGTATTACTCTCAGCAACTGCAGAATTCCTTTTCTGGAGGGTGGCAGAAAATAACTAATTAAGGAGCTAATTAATGAATACTCACTACTTGTTTGGCACTTCTAGTGCTGAAAGCCCTTCATCATCTTAGTGTTCACTCAAGCCTGTGAATGAGGCACTATTATGTCAAATGAGCAGATGAGGTAAGAGAGCCCTAGTCTTGGTTCTAGATTCACATGGCCCATGGTAGAGGGGAGGCAAAGCATGGTTCACCATGTCACACAGCAGCATCCGAGACAGGTTTATGGTTTATGTCCATCAATTGTCATTCACATTCAGCTCAGAAAACAGGACTAGTTGGAACAAGGTTCTTTCAATTTGGCATATAGACCTGAGCTGTGTCATGGAGTAGCTACCAGCCATTGTGACTGCTTAAATTTAAATAAACTAAAAATAACTAAGATTAATAATTCATTTCCCTAGCCGCATGACCACATTTCAAGCATTTGGTAGCCACACTTGGTAGTCTGTTTAGGTTACTGTTTCTCTAAGGCTGCTTAAAGAACATTTGTATCACCTCATGGCCTATCTAGAAAGTTTTTAAGGTAAAAGAGGTTTTGTGAATGCTGAGTGTCATATTCTCCCTTGAGTATCAGAACGTACCACAGTCTATTAAAGAAGCCCCCAAATCAAAACCTGCATTTAACTTTGTTTAAGCAGAAGTCCCCAAATTATGTGGCTATGGAACCCTATTCCATGCTATATTTAACAGTAGTCTTTGAAACATAGGTTGACAAGTTCTGGAAGCATAAAACCAGAAATCATCTAAAGAAGAATCATGTATTATTATCACTCATAATAGTAACAGATGCTGTGAGAGAACTAGGTGCTAGAGAAGGTACCACCCCGCCTTTCTACCTCACAGGCTGGATTGAGGAGGAAATTGAGTCTGAGAGAAAATCTACAATCAAGCTACACCACCACGTAGAAGAGAAAATTCTGTACTGTCACATTCCAAATCCCAAATCCCACTCCACCCACTGAATAAGCATGTGATTGCCCTGAGAACTACTGTCAACAAGAGACAGAGCTGCCTTAGACATTGCAAAGACCACAGAACACTACCAAAAATGCATCCTGAATTCCAGTAAGAGGAGAATATCCAGAGGCAAAATGCAAGCATCTGTCTCCCTCTGTCTTAGACACTGAGATGCACAATAAAAATTGTAGCCATTTGGCTTACCATAAAGGAAGGCCAGTAGTTAAGAGGGCAGCTCAGGCCGAAGACTGAAGGGACTCATACTGAGCACGAGGGAATGGCCTGATGGTCATTCCACACTCAGGAATTCAGTGGAGCATGGAAGATAGCCAGAAGGCAAGCTGCATAGATAGAGCCCATTCTAGTCTAGCCTGTTTAAGGACCAGATAGATTCACAGTTGCTTTCCCACCAGCAGAGTATGCTTCAAAAGGCAACCCAGAGGTAGGGGAGTCACATTCATCCCAGAAGGAAAAAAATACTGACTACTGTTATGTTCTTTTTACTTATTGTTTACTTTTGTGGTTTAATGTTTTGCTGCCATTTTGGCCTCACTTGATTCGGCCTCATCATTGTTCCTGTCCGCAACTGTTCTGCCGTGTTCTTTCCTGCTTCTCACAGCCTCAAACCATGTACTTTCCTTCTTCTTCCTTCTTCACTTCCTCTTTTCCCTTTTTCCTGTTCCTCCTATTTTTATTTCTTTTTTTATTTATTTATTATCTTTATTTTCTGTGTATGGGTGTATTGCCTGCATGTATGTAAGTGCACCCATGTCATGCAATATCCACAGAGGTCAAAAGAGGGCGTTGGATTCCTTGGAACTTGTTGTAGACAGTTGTTAGCCACCATATGGGTGCTGGGATTTGAACCTGGTCCTTTGCAAGAGCAGCCAGTGCTCTTAACTGCTGAGCCATCTCTCCGGCCCCCTATTTTTATTTCTTAATTACTAAATCTTTAGCCTAATAATCCTTAAATTCTTCCTTAATCCTATCAGTAGCTCTTTTGTTGTATTGCATTTTATTGCACAGTTGTCAAATAATTGTTTTGTACTAATAATTGCTTCTTCCCTCCAAATGGTAGTAGGGAGCATAAGCCCAAGAGAAAACTGCTCATTAAGAAGATTCATATACCCATAAGGAAAACTGACTCTCCCTTTCCCAGCATCTACTCCAAGGGATAGAGCCATACCCGAGAGCATTTGGGAAACAAGATTAGACTTGACAGGCCTTAAAATAGACAAATAATAAAAAGAGAACCTGAAGTCAGGGGGTAGTAAGGTTGGAGTGGAGTGGAGGGAGGTGTCTGAATATGATCAAATACATTGCATGAAATTCTTGAATTAATAATATATATGTGAAGACCCATATAAGAGAAAAGATGGGGAAAAACATATCCCAACAACTGTGCAAATCACAAATAGAAACAACAAAAGCCTCCAAAAGCTTAAAACTCCTCAATAACTGAAATCAAATAAAGCACTGAAATGATGGACAAATCATCCAAAAATCCCACTTTAAAAAATGTTCAGTGACATCAAAGAGGGTTAAACAAGCAGACAAATAAATTAAGAAAATCAATTTAGAGGCTGGGGAGATGGCTCAGTGGGTAAAGAAGAATTTGTTGCACAAGTATGTGGACCTTAGTGCAGATCCCCAGAACCACATAAAAATTCAGATACAAGACAGGCATGGTGACGCATACCTTTAATCCCAGCACTTGGGAGGCAGAGGAAGGCAGATCTCTGTGAGATCAAGGCCAGCCTAATCTACATAGTGAGTTCCAGGCCATTCAGAATTATATAGTGAGACCCTCTCTTTAAAAAAAGAAATTTTAGCCAGGCGTGGTTGTGCACGCCTTTAATCCCAGCACTCGGGAGGCAGAGGAAGACAGATCTCTACGAGTTCAAGGCCAGCGTGGTCTACATAGTGAGTTCCAGGACAGCTGGGGCTACAGGGAGACCCTGTCTCAAAAAGACAAAAGGAAAAAAATTTCTGATACAGTGGTGTATGTCTGTAATCCCAGCACTGCTATGGTGAGATAGGCAGCTAAGACAGGAGAATCCCCAGAAGTCTGTGGGCCAGGCAAAAAAAACAGAGACCCTGCCTCAAACTAGGTGGAAGGTGAGGACTGACATGCAAGATTGTGACCTCCAACACATGCACTATAGAACACACACCTATACTCATACACAAACACATACACACAGAGAGAGAAAAAGAAATACACAGACAGAGACAGAGACAGAGAAAGAGAGAGACAGAGAGACAGAAGCAGAGAGAGGTAAAAAGAGAGAAGAAAAGAAAATCAAGTTGGGGCCAAGATAAGGAAGTTAGCAACATGAATGAAGAAGCTGGCAAAAGGGAGAAAAAAGTCAGCAAGGAAATTGAGATTCTAAAAAAAAGAAAGAAAAAAAATCAGAAATGTTGGGAATGAGTCAATCAATCAAATAAAAAAAGAAAACCACAATGGAAAGTATCAATAGACTAAATCAAGCCAAAAAGGCAGGGCATGGAAGACAAGGTTGAGGAAATGTTACATTCATACCCTAATTTTGAAGGATAGTTCAGTGAAATTGCATAAGGAAATTTTGTAAATTTAGGAAAATTATATATATATATATA